GAGCACTGCACAAACTGTTGCTCTCATTTTTTTAAAAAAATATATTTTATTGATTTTTTTTTTTACAGAGAGGAAGAGAGAGGGATAGAGAGTTAGAAACATCAATGAGAGAGAATCATCGATCATCTGCCTCTTGCACACCCCCCACTGGGGATGTGCCCGCAACCAAGGCACATGCCTTTGACTGGAATCAAACCCGGGACCCTAGAGTCCACAAGCCGATGTTCTATCCACTGAGCCAAACCGGTTTCGGCTGTTGCTCTCACTTTTAAGGAGCTTTGCCACCTAGTGCGGCAGACAGACATGCGTTTGATAAGTCACAGGAGTCACTTATATCCAAAAGTCCCATTCCTGGAGAAGAGGGCATTGACTCAAACCTTGGATGAGAGAGAAGATTTCAGGAGGAACGTTGGTGGGAGACAGGAGGGTACGTCCCAGCAAAGAAAGGGCCTGACCCAGCTGAGCGTGGGCTCCATGGGGAGACCAAAGCGTCAGGGGCCAGGATGGCCACCCAGAACAATGTTCGAGAAGGACTGTGTTGTCGTGTTGAGCAGGAGGGAGGAAAGCAGAGAGACACCAGATGCGGGAACCCCGTTTTTAAAAAAGAAAAAAGAATGATTTCATGAGTCAGATGATAGAAGCCATAGTCCCGGAATTAAGCAGGGGTAGTGATGAGAAACACTGAAGGAGGAAGGCTGGATGTTGGTCAGTTTATTGATATTGTAGATTTTGGGGGGACCAAGAGATAGGCACTCATTAAGTTGGGACAAACCCAGTTACAGGAGGATGATAACATCGTCTTTCTTTTATAATAGGTAATACTTATCCCAAATTTACTTTGTACCAGACACTGTGCTAGGAGCTTACCATGTAATGTCACATTGAAATTTTCACAGCAATCTCTCGGGTAGGGATTAATACAATCTCAGTCCTAAAATGCAGAAAGTGAGGTACAGAGGGAGGGGCTTGGTTAATTTGCCAAAAGTCGCACAGCCTCTGAGTGAAGAAAAATAGAAAGACAGAAGCCCGAGGAACTAGCCAGATCAGGAATTGTGTTTTGTTTAAGTTGAAGAGACAACATTTTGTTCATAGATAGAAGGGAAGGAGCTGGCATATCCCCAGTGGGGGGTGTGCAAGAGGCAGCTGATCGATGACTCTCTCTCATCGATGTTTCTAGCTCTCTATCTCCCTTCCTCTCTGTACAAAATCGATAAAATATATTTAAAAAAAAAAAAAAAAAAAAAAAAAGGGAAGGAGCTGAGTGGGACTAAAAGGACCAACCTTAGGTGCAGGAGAAGGGGAAATGACTGGCACAGAGTTCCTAGAGGATGTGGGAGGAGAGCGAGGGGTCCCAGAGATGGCACAGGGGAGAGGGGGAGAATAGGGATGGGGACAGTCTGCTCAGTAACATTTCCTGAGCACGGGCATTTGTTGGCTGAGTGTGAAGAAGAAGGAACAGTGACATTTGTTCATTTGTTCTGCTGCTCTCTCTCTCTGTTGGTCCATCACAGGTGATTAAGGAACTCCAGGACTTTTACACGGACACCTACAACAAGCTGAAAAACAAGGACGAGCCCCAGCGGGAAACACTGAAAGCCATCCACGCCGCGGTACGTCGTCTTTGCATCCTCAGAGCATGTGCACACGGCATTTGCTGTCCCCAGACCAGTGCGTCTCTATCTCAATCACTTTTGTGTTTGTTTCTCTTACCCCATCCCTGCCCTTCTCTCCCCAGTTGAATTGCTGTGGTGTGGCTGGGGGAGTAGAACAATTCATCTCGGACATCTGCCCCCAGAAGGATATACTCACATCCATCACCGTGAAGGTAAGCATGAAGAGCAAGATCTTTGTGCCCCTGCCCGCTTGCTCTGGGCAGATCCCATAAGGGTAGAAGTGAAATCTGCCCTCTCGTTCTGGAAGGACAGTCATCTAAGTGCTTCACAAATATGCCTTCCATCTGCAAGGTTCCAGGGTGGCCACCTCATTTCTCCCCTGCCTTGGCGCCTTCTGTGTCCCCAATGGCAGCAAAACAAAGGCCAGACCAGGGAAACAGCAAAGTGTGTCTAGCTGCCTGCAATGATTTGGCACCCTGGAACTGCCCATTGCTGCCCCATGTTGTAGCCTCCCCCAGCACTCAAGGCATCAGGGTCAGGTGTGCTCCGAGTCCTGGACATCTGCTTTGTAGACTTGCAAATGGCTCAAGATTGTAAACGAGAGCTAATGTCCAAACTCCAGAAGAACAAGATGTAACCCAGATAAGAAACAGACCCACAGCAGGGGCTTACCCCTCTTTCTTCTGTGATTTCTTATCCAAATATGTGGCACCCACCTCCTATTCCTCTCTCGGTTCTCCTTTCTATCCACCAACCAAGATACCTGAACACTCCTGTCCCCTCCCCTATCCCTGGAACCACCAATGCTCTGGGTGTGAAACGGGTTCTGTGGGAGGAAGGAAGGAGGTGTGAGCAGGGATCGTGTGTGACCAGGGTCTTTGTTTGCCCCCCTCAGTCCTGCCCTGAGGCCATCAAAGAGGTCTTCCACAACAAGTTCCACATCATTGGTGCCGTGGGCATCGGGATCGCCGTGGTGATGGTGAGTGTCCTGGACATTGGGGCTTGGGAGGGGAGAGGGTCTTCTTAGTAGTTAGCATTGATTAAGTGCATGCTCTGGCCAGGCGCTATCTTAGGTGCTAACACATTTACCAGCTGATTGAATCCTCACCGTACCTATGAGGTGGAGCTCTTAACAGTCCCGTGTCAGAGACTAAGGGACAGAGAGACAGAAAGGTTGAATAAGTTGATCAAGGTCTCTGAGCTCATGAGTGAAGCTTCTGGGATTTGAACTTGGTGTTCAAATCCACTCTCTGAACCATTGAGGTTCAGGGGTACATGTAAGGTGAAGCCATTGCTGCTGGTCCATGGACCATGCAAGGATCTGGATCACCCCAGACCTGCTAGTTATCCTGGGGTGATCTTTGAAACATGTTTTCATCATGCGCCTGCTCTTCTTTCTCAAAAAAAAAAAGTAGTTCAGTGAAAGCTACATGGATGTGAATTGTTTCATCTCCCTCTGTAGTCTGAAAGGCATCCAGGGTGGACAGCCCAAAGCATCAAATAGTGTACTCTCTAGTAATCAGCTCCCAGGAACCAGCTAGGGTCGATGAGGTCCCCTGAGGTCTCCCCTTCTTCCCCAGTAGGGCATTATGAGAACTCTTCAAGGGACACAGAGCCCTTGTCTGCCCCTCACAAGACTACTCCAAAAGAGAATTGCTTGCTTTCTAAATGGTTATTGGTACCTCTCATCTGCATCTAGAAAAGCTTGGCACAGCTTTCAGTAAAAGAGAACACCATACCTTTTAAAATAGAATATAAAACTCGCAAAAACACAAAGGTGGAAGCAAAAGTTCCAGCCTGTGTGGACTATGGGAATATCTAAATGTGAACATTCAGGTTAGCTCTGAGTGTATTTGTCTCACCCAGGGAAGTTACTTGCATTAGCAAGTGGCTGCAGACTCTCGGAATCACACCTGTCGTGATCCCTCCCATTATCTAGCCTACACTTCCCTGCTTTGACATTTAATTCATTTGGCCTCTGATTCTCCTAGTCCAGTGGTTGGCAAACTCATTAGTCAACAGAGCCAAATATCAACAGTACAATGATTGAAATTTCTTTTGAGAGCCAGATTTTTAAAATTTAAACTTCTTCTAACTCCATCCTTCAAAATAGACTCGCCCAGGCCATGGTATTTTGCGGAAGAGCCACACTCAAGGGGCCAAAGAGCCACATGTGGCTCCTGAGCCAAGTTTGCCTACCACGGTCCTAGTCCTTTGTCTTGGTCTGAATGACTCATGTCTTTCCCTCATCAAAAGCCACTTTGTTCCTCCTACTCCTCCCTGTCTTCCAGATCTTTGGCATGATCTTCAGTATGATCCTGTGCTGTGCTATCCGAAGAAACCGAGAGATGGTCTAGAGTCAGCATGTATTCATTCCTGAGCAGGAAAGTTTACCCCTGAAGATAGATGGTTATTTTCCTGGGGTTTTATTTTTGTTGTTGTTATTTTTTTGTTGTTGTTTTTTCTTTTTCTTTTTCTTTTTTTTTTTGGCCACTAACTTTTAGTATTCATTCTGCAATTATAAACAAGAAAAAATGTTATTCTTTTTTATCTTTTTAATGCTTTATTCATATGAATAGTTGAGAGATTGAGGGACTTGTTTTGCTTTGGTTTATAATTTTTGGTCGTTTGTTTTTGCTTATTATGTTAGGCAGAAATCCTGCAATGAAAGGTACTATATTTGCTAGACTCTAGACAAAAGATATTGTACATAAAGAGATTTTTTTTCTTTAAATAGATTTTAAAAAATGTCTATCAAATTTAATCAGATTGTAACTTATGTTGAAGACAATTTGATACATAATAAAAGATTATGACAATATCCTGGACTGGTTTTGGGGTCTAATGGCTTCCTTTATTTATTTTATTTATTTATTTATTTATTTATTTATTAGACCTATGTATTTCTCAGATGTCTTTCAACTGCTTTCTGCTTTAACTGCATTTACATGAAAAGTAGGCTGGAAGGTTAGTCTTCCTACCTTGCTAATAAAAAAAGTGTGGAGAGATGAAGGGATTCTGACCCAAGGTCACACAACTGCTAATAGGATCAACACTAGAACCCCTCTTGCAGCAGTGTGTTGTGTCTTGGAAGTACAACAGTAAATGTGAGATCCCTGCTGGCAGGGACTTTGTTTTACTCACTACTCTTCCCCCAGCTCTTAGAACCTCGTGTCTGATGCATAGTAGCTGCTCAGTATTTATTATCAGTTAACATTTGTTGGTTGATAAATGAGTGTGTACCCATTATGGTTTGATCCAAGAAGCAGGATCTACACTAATAAAAGAGAAACATGCAAATTGATCATACCTCCACTACACCCACCAGCCAATCAGGAGTGAGTATGCAAATTAACCCAACCAAGATAGTGGTGGCCCCAGAGCTGGAATAAGCAGGAGTCTTGGGTTGCCTCCAGTGATAGAGGAAGCCAAGCTTCCCACCCTCCCTGGCCATCTCTGGCCTCTGCCCAAGGCTACAAAGTTTCAATTATAGAAGATAAATAAATCCCAGATACCTGCTTCCAGCTGGCCCTGGCCTCTGCTCAAGGAGTCACTCAAGAAAAAAAGAAAGGAGGGACTGGGAGCTTGGGTTGAGGGGGGGAGGGGGGAGGAACTAGCCTGCAAACAGCCATCAGCTCCTCACCCAGACTGGCCAGGGACCCCACCCTGAAAGAGGTGTGGCCAGCTTGAAAACAGCCCTCACCCAGGCTGGCCATGCCCCCCAACAGAGACCCTCACCCCATGGCCAGCCTGCAAACCACCACAGTCCCCTCGCCCAGGCCGCCCCACACAAGGGAACCCCCACCCTGATCCGGGACACCCTTCAGGACAAACCAGCCAGCCCTCACCCATGCACCAGGCCTCTATACTAATAAAAGGGTAATATGGTAATTAGACTGGGAGACCTGTTTTTATGGACAAAGCCATGGTGGCGGGGCAGAGATAGAGGCCGTTAGATGCCAAGAGAGGAGGGGAGGGCAGTTATGGGTGATCAGGCTGGTGGGGGCGGGAGGGCCGTTGGGAGTAAGCAGACCAACAGGGGGGCCAGTTGGGGGCCTGCAGGCCATCAGTGAGGGTCAATTGGAGGTGATCAGTACAGCGGGTGGGGGGCAGTTTGGAGTGAGCAGACCAGCAGGGAGGATAGTTGGGGGTGAGCAGGCAGTTGGGGGCAAACACACTGGCACAGGGGTAGTTGGGGATGATCAGTCTGGCAGGGTGGGAGGGCATTTGGGGATGAGCAGGCTGGCGGCAGGGAGCAATTGGAGGCCAGCAAGCCAATAGGCAGGGTGGTTAGGGGCAATCAGGCAGGCAGGTGAGCAGTTAGGAGCTAGCAGTCCCTAATTGCAAGAGGGATGTCTTACTGCTGGTATAGGCTTGATTCCTGTAAACTGGCAGTCGGGCATCCTTCGAGGGGTCCCAGATTGGAGAGGGTGCAAGCTGGGCTGAAAAACATCCCCCCTCCCCTCTTTCCTCCCCCTACCTCCCGTCTCTAGTATTAAATATTATGGAGAGAGAAAGAGACTAGCTACAATCATTGGAGCTGGCTAAGCAGTTTCTGTAAGACACTGTCCTTGCATCTGATGCTGGAGCCTGAAGCCCACAGGCAGACAGGAAGGATAAATGGAAGTGAATTGGGGACAGGAGGGCAAAAACAAGATAGAATTCACAAGCACAAGCCCATGGAGACAGACAAATCTGTGTGGGCTCTTGTTCCTCTGATGTTGGTGGTATGGGTCCTACAGAGACATTGGCCAAGAGTTGGGGAAGCTGAAGTGAGCCAGCAAAAAAGCAACAATTTGAGCTACAAAATGGCTGCTGCTTTATTTCCCTCCTCCCACAAGGATCTTCTGGGTTTCCTCCTGCTCCACTCTAACCAGCACCATTCAGGAGGGGCATGCTGGGAAGTGAAGTTCAGCTTAACTGGGTTGAGCACTCTGTGAGCCAGACGTGGCTCTACTCAGAATGTCTGCAATGGAGTGGGCAGTTCAAAGGTAGGCAGGCAATTGCTACAGAGGGAGATAAACACTATGAGAGGATAAGTACAGAGGCATAAGAAACCTGTTTTTATTCTCCACCCCTTAATTCAGTTTGGGTTCTTTCTTAGTGTTTAAAAAAAAAAAAAAAAAGTCAGAACACTAATGTTCCTAGCAGCATTATTCACAATAACCAAAAGGTGGCTACAACCCAACTATCCATCAACAAACACATGAATGGATAAATAAAATGTGGTATAGCTATACAATGGAATATTAATTCATACTAAAAAGAAATGATACATTAATACACATTCTACATACAACACAGACAAAGCCTGAAGATATTAAGTGAAATAAGCCAGAAACAAAAGAAAAAAATACTCTATGATTCCAATTACATGAGGTGCCTAGAATAAGTAAATTCATAGAGATAGAAAGTAGATTAAGGGCGCCGAAACCGGTTTGTCTCAGTGGTAGAGCGTCGGTGTGCGGACTGAAAGGTCCCGGGTTCGATTCTGGTCAAGGGCATGTACCTTGGTTGCGGGCACATCCCCGGTAGGGAGTGTGCAAGAGGCAGCTGGTCAATGTTTCTCTCTCATTGATGTTTCTAGCTCTCTATCTCTTTCCCTTCCTCTCTGTAAAAAATCAATAAAATATATTTAAAATTAAAATGTAATCCATAAATGTTGTGGATTTAAGAAAAAAAAAAAAAGGATAACTAGAGCCTGTTTAGGGTGACAAAATTTAATGAGGACAGAGTTTCTGTTTAGGGTGACAAAATTTTTCTGGAAATAGTGGTATGGTTACATTGTGAATGTACTCAGTGCCACTAAAGTGTACACTTAAAAATGGTTAAAACGGTAAATTTTATATTTGCCACATTAAAAAAAATTCGGCTGGGTTGGCATCCTGGGTTTCATTGCTGTTCTATGGCCCCAGGTCCCTTATTTAGGCATTTGAAGTCTTACTACTATTTGTGGAAATAATAAGTTAACTATTGGTTTTATGTATGGGTGAATGAGACTATGTTGACATAAGCTTAATTCCAATATCCACTGTTTGCCAGCTCCCTCTAGGAAAAGCAGGTCCCATATATACACTCCCACCCTGCTTCTTTGCTGCAGGTGGCTGGAGTCAATATAACAGATTGTTACTATTTAAATTAAGGGCTACCTCGGTGTTATACCCTGTATTTTCAGTTTGTTGGAAATAACGGACCAATGGGCTAGCTTAAGCAACAGCAAACATGTATTAAGAGCACAAGTGGTGTCTTATAGAACCCAAGAATAGAAACAATTGAGCCATGGGAAGATCCTGGACCCATGGACGAAGAACTGCAGCTCTCCATTTCTGTGTTGTGTGCTCCCCTAAGAGACCAATTGTTTCTGCTACTCTGTCCACATGAGGTGGGAAAGGGCTGGCCCGCAACTCCCAAGCTTGCACAGAGACAACCTCCATTAGCCCCATATGAAGCTTTAGGAGAAAACATCTGAGCCAGTTTTTAGTCAAATACCTATCCCTGTTCGGTCAGCTGGCAGTGAGGGGGAAAGATGTGCCCACTCTGACCTGTAGACTGGGCCCAGGACCCTGCTATCAATCCAGTGAAACAAGTTTGCCTGACTCGTGGCCGACAGGTCCAGGTGATGTCTAGAGTTAAGACAAAACCAAGCTGCTACATAGCCCTCAGCACCTGAAAGGCTTATGGAGCCAAGGCCTTTAGGAAGCTTTAGGTCACAAAAAGGCAATAGACTCTGCCAATGACAACAAGAGATTTGGGTCCAGAAAGAATTACTTTAAGCAAAAGAGGAATGCTCAGCTGGGTATGTTGGCCTCTGATTCAACTGTTAAAAGCAGCCCTGGGCAACCAATTTGAATAAACACGGATGGATAGTTAAAAGGTTATTACTTCACCCTGTGCCCTTCAGAACTGAAAGCGGTTTGGCTCAGTGGAACTGAGCAGACTGAAAGGTTTATCAGCGGATAAAGGTCTAGCATCAGGTCTATCAGCGATTGGTTTGCCCTGAAGAGTGTCCCGGATCTGGTCCATCAGCAGACTGAAAGGTTACAGGTTTGATTCCGGTCAATGGCATGTACCTTGGTTGTGGGCACATCCCCAGTAGGAGGTGTGCAGGAGGCAGCTGATAGATGTTTCTAACTTTCTATCCCTCTCCCTTCCTCTCTATAAAAAAAAATCAATAAAATATATTTTTAAATAAATAAAATAAAATCCCTAAACTCCTGGTAGTCTCCTCACAAGGGCCCATCTCCACATCACGCATCCTTCTACAGCAGAATGGTGCAAGGGTGGATCCAAGACCCCACACATCCCAGCACTGCTGCTGCTTGCTGTCGCTTCCTTGGAAAGGGGGTTTTGACTAGTGCATGAAGACACTCCAGGAGTTCAGGCAATTTTTGTTTCACTACAAGTTAGGTAAGGGCATCTCATGAGCTTCATGGGCAAAGATGGAAAAGTATGGGTGGACTTCTAGCATAATGAGGCAGACCCATAGCTGGGCAGACACCCCCCATTCACGGGGAAAGGTCTCTATTGATGGGCTAAGGGGGTCCTGCTTTGCCTTTTCCTGGTCAGTGTTTTAAATGATAACTTGAAATATTATTAAATACTAGTGACCCAGTGCATGAAATTCGTGCACATTAAAAGGGAATTAATTAGAGGAAATATTTTAATATTGCTATTTGCCCTTTATAATAGAAGTGTCAGAGATGAAAGAAAATTAGTAAAATGTATATGAAACTCTTCCTCCTATCAGAGTCTGGGGTGGGCCACAGGAACCAGAGTCAAGTCCCCACCCACCCACATGTGCCTCAAAATCATGCAAGATCCAAACCCAACCTGCCCCACCCCCTTGGGCTAGATCCAGATCTGGCTGGCCCCACTCCTGTCAAACCCCGCTGGGTGGGGGGCGCAGCCTCAGGCCCCCTACCCCAGCCAGCACCACACAGCCTCAGGCCCCTGCTAATTGCTCATTAAGGCTCATTGCAGGAACTCGGACTCCGATATGGGCACAGCCATCTTGTGTTATGGAATCCTCGCCTCCGCTGTAGGCGCAGCCATCTTGTTATGGTGTGAGAGTCTTTATTAGATTGAATTGTAGGTTTCACAAAGCTCTGAAGAATATCCAGTAGTTTGGGTAACAGAATTATGGTTTAAAGAGAGATTTGGGGGCCTGGAAAATGGATTATGACACCCAAATAATGTATCTTAATAGGAATAAATAATAAGTAAATGAAATCAAGCAATCTACAGTCTCTGATCCTTATAGTTGGAATAGATTTGGCTGGTTAGGTAATAGGATTTTCCCCCTCATATTCCGTCTGAAGACAACCATTGGTATTGACTTAGGAGTTAGGTACTGTCAAAGATGGATGTCTGATTCTCTTAGCTTGCCCCCCATGGCTGCAGCTCCAACCATTTCTACATTCTTAACAGGAAGTAAGAGAGGAGGGCAAATACTCGCTAAGGCTACTACCACTTTTAGCTAAAATGCAAAAGCTTCCTCCAACAAAAGCCAACTTCCATTTGTGAAACATTGGCCCAAGTCTGTCATATGGGTACTCATAACTATAGGGGAGGCTGAGAACATATTTAGTTTTTCCAATCTACGGTGAAGGTAGGAAAGGGACAGGCCAGTTGTGAATGTTTTCTTTCCTTTTACCGTTCGAAAACTTGAGGTTCGGAAAAAAATATTTGTTCCAACATCACACAATTCATATCCTGGCTACAAACTTGAGCCCAGGTTTGCCTTTCTCCAGTTTCAACCAGGTTGCCTCCCTGGATTAATATCGTAAGAGGAAATTTAACAGGAACAAACTGGAACATCTTTCGATTGGAAGAACTCATAAAATGCAAGCTGGAGAAACAATTTCCCTTGAAAAAAGACATGGAAATGTAGCTTACCACAAAGTTAAGTGAGGCTGTCTTGGGCTCTACCCAGAGTCACAGATGCAGTGTCGGGCCGGAGAGCGGAATGATGCTCCGATCTGGGGCCACTCCTTAAAAAGGAAAGTGCCAACCACAGAGACCTGAAGGGGACAGACCTTATGGGGGAGGTGCCTACAATCATGTCCCCCAAGAGGAGAGTGAAGAACCAGAGAATTCTAACCTAGGGTTGGGGGAGAGGGGCCTACCACACAATGATCTTTGTTTTCAAATATCTAAAGGGCATAAGGGCTATACCAGGGGCATCTATTATCTCAGGGGTCACAGTAAGAATTGATGGGTGGGACCCACAGGAAAACAAATTTTGACTAAACCCAAAGAAAACTCCTTAAAAGCAGGGATCTCCAATGGAAGAAGATGCTCTCCACGAGTAGTGTTCCCCCCAGGAGAGGCTGGAGATGGGGTTATGCCAATTCTTGCACTGATGGGGACTTGAGGAATTCTTATATTCCTTCCACCCCTAAGCACTTACAAAGATGTAGGTCTCTAAGTAAAACAAACAAACAAAAACACCAATTCATTATGGAGGAGGGCAAGGGTGAGGGGAAGATCTCTAATAAAGGTTGATGTAAGAGTACAGTTTCTGTTTCTTTGGGAAACCCCAAAATATTTCAAAATAATGCTTTATCTCTGAAATTGTTGCATTTTTCATATTAGTGCTACTCGTGGGCTCTTCGAGATGAAAGGGAGAGAGCACCAGAACCCTTAAATCGTGGGGTTTTCGGGGGAGGATATTCAACATCTCAGCAACCACAGCACGACTTCTGAATTCCTGTGTGTTCTAGCCTGGCCTGCAACAGGCCAAGCAGAGACGAGACAGTGGCTCGTCCCAGCTCTTCATATGGCTTCTGCTCCCCTCCCTCGCCCCCGTATCCCTAGATCTTTCTGCAATGTCAACCAAGGTCGCTTAGCAAAAAGGTTATAAACAGGTTGTTTGGCACTGGTGCTGCTGCTGCTGCAGGTACCTGGCCTTGCCTGCTTGAGCTGGGCCCCAATCCTCACCCACCCTGGCCTGCCCCTTCGGGCCTAACAGCCTGGCACATCTGTGTCCACTGCGCCCCCAGGACACTTCCTGTGCCTGTGAGTGCCCCTGAATAGCCACACCCCACATGTGGGCACTGCACCACCCAAGAGCCTGGCTCCAGCAACCAGTGGCCTGGGCTTCCAGATGGCCACTTCCTGGGTTGGCTGCCTGTCTGGTGGTGGGGCTGCCTGCCCTTGTCCATCAGAGGTGACTGAAGTTTCATATCACAGAAAATTTGGTTGGAATCTCCAGAGCTCTGTGAAATAAGAATACTGGAAAACTTTGCCTCTCTCTGACTTGCACAAATTTTGTTTGGCTTGTGCATTAGAAGGGGTGGACAGATGGGTGGATGTCAATCACATTAACTGCTCAGCAGACAGATTGTACTTAGAAGATTCAGACTTTTTAGAAAGTCTGTTGCCCACTGGGGGGAACAATGACTGAAGAAATCATGATGGAAGGCAAGAAATTTCATCCAGTAGTGAAACACCACGTTTATAGTATCCATGTGACTGTTCAAAGTATAACGGTGTTTATCCTAAGAACTAGGTAGTAGTAAGAACCATTTGTAATAGATTGCTTATTTGTAAGATGGCCAATTTCAATTACTTGAAATTGTAACCCTGTGCCTGTAAATGTTACATATAGTACGTTTTTTCATAACTTTACAGTGTCACACGACTATAACGTATGACTGATCTTGTTACTAAAAGGAGAGGGGGGGGGGAAACTTTTCACGGGAGTTTCCACTTCTGTATTGTTTTATCACCAAACGTTCAGATAAGCTGTTCTACTGTCGTTGCCTTTTAAACATCCAGGGTATTAGCACTTTCCTGGATGTGCTTAGGAGATCGAGCCATGAATTCCTTGGATTTTCTGCTGGAGTTCATTTAAGGGTATCTGATTACATGATGAACAGTAGACTGAGATGACCTTCAAGTGGCAATGTCATTATTTTCTTGTTATGTCTTCAGCTTGATGATTAAGATACAATTCTGTTTAAAACCAAATGGCATTTAAAAAAAACAAACAAAAAAATTGGCATTGATTCTAGGTTTCCAATTTGGGAAACCTATTTTAGTTAATATTTCAAAGAAATATGAAGCCTAACTATTTTAACTCTGGAATGCTAATGAAACAAATAGACTAGAGAGATGTTAAATTATTCATCATTTAATGGTGTTTATTAACAACTAGAGGCCTGGGTGGGGTCCAGCTGGCCCGCGCCGATCCTGGCTGAAGGGAGGGAACGTGGGAGGTTGGCCAGCCGACCCCGTCCCTGGTCAAACCCCCAGTCAAACTCCTGGTCAAGGGGACAATTGCATATTAGCCTTTTATTATATAGGATGTTTGTTTTCAGCATTTTAATATGGGTAAAATTTTTTACTTCCTCTTAAGAAGAATAACGTTTATTGATTAAAGGTGGGAAATGGCAAACAAATGCTGGCAATGATATGGAGAAAAGGGAGCCTTTGTGCACTGCAGGTGGAAATGCAAACTGGTGCAGCCACTGTGGAAAACAGTATGAAGTTTCCTCAAAAAAAAAATAAATAAATAAAAAAAATGGAACTGCCTTTTGACCCAGTGATCCTAAGAATTATGAAATACCAATCAGAAAGAACATATGCACCCCTATGTTCATAGTAGTGTTTGTTTTTGTTTTTGTTTTATAATAGCTGAGATCTGGAAATAACCCAAATGTCTATCAGTAAATGAGGGGATAAAAAAGCTGTGGTAGATTGATATAAGTACACTACACAGCTATAAAAAAGAGGAAGTCCTGCCCTTTGCAACAGCATTGATGGACCTGGAGAGTATTATGCTAAGTGAAATAAGCCAGTCAGAGAAAGACAAATACATATGATCTCACTAGTATGTGGAATCTAATGAACAAAATAAACCTATAAAATGGAACCAGAAGCATGAATACATGGAAGAGACTGGCCGGTGCCCAAAGGAAAGGGTCAGGTAACTGGATAAAGACCATGAAGGAAATAGCTAAAGAACATATGCATACCTCACGGACATGGACAATAATTTGGTAAAATCCAAGGAAGGGATTGTCAGGAAAGAGGGTTAAAGGGGGGCAGGGGGCAAGAAATTCCTGCAACAATAATTTTTAAAATTTTAACAAAAAGATGGGAAATCATTAAGACACCAATTGTATTTCAGATTTTTGACTATATTATGCAATAGATTTAATTTTTCATGAACTGTCTTAGCTTTTCAACTTGTGTTGGTGGGGGGTGGGGAAGCAGCCCTATTATTATCTTTTGTCAGGACATGGATCCCTGGCCCCAGTGCTTGTGGTTAAGGGAGCAATATCAACACTGAGGACCCCTTAGGTCTTTCCAAGCACAGGAAATTAAGCAGAAAGAACTTCCTGGGACATCTCACCTCGCTAGAGCTGACTGTCTCCAAGACCACCTGGGACCCACCCCATAGTCTTTACACCCTAAAGAAGTCTGCAGTGGAATTTGGAGTAGATATGCCTGTTGAGGGGTATTCTCCTAAAATAAGTATGACCACATTCCAAAAGAAGTAGGATTATGCATGTGGCCCTTTGAGAAAGGGACGTTACAGAGGGTCTGTGAACAATGGAAAAATCAGTGGAGAGTCCATGGGTCCCAAGCCAACAATCATCAGAATCTAAGGACTTATTCCACTAAACTAAGTTTTCTCCCCTCCTCCCCCAGTTCACCTCCACCCACCCTCAGTTATAATGCTGGCTTAGAGAGGCCTGAGCAGCTAATGGAATAGTTTTCACTGAAGATTTGGCCTGCAAACCCCTGGAGAACTAATTTGATTTCTTTCTTTTTTAATTGGATTTCCCCAAATCATCTGCTTCCCCTTTGGCTATGCAAACAGGATCAGATCTTATCCCAGTGTAGAATCTTTCCTATTCTGAAAGGCTCCAAGGAGCCAGAGCTGACCTTCTGGCCAAGCAGGGCAATAAGGGGCCATAGGACTGTTCTAACATACCTTGCAAGGGCAGTACTGGTTCGAAACCCTCAGAGATTCCTAGATAAAATCCAGCTCAAGTGTCAACTAGCAGTCCTTTTGATAACCTCTTCCATCACCCTACCCCTCATGACCAGCTCTTACAATGTCACATGCACCCCCCCCTCTTCAACAATAAGGTCTGACTTCATCTGCATGGAGGTGGCTCATTTGGCAGCTACCTGGCTGCATAAGAGGCAGATGCTACAGCAACAATATAGGCACATGCAAGAGAAAACACAGATTAGATGATTCCCAAAATAAGTAACAATTTTCTCTACCAAGAGTCATGATCCCAACCTTTGATTTACTAAGTCCCCTAGGCTAGAGAGTTGAATCACTAAACGCATTCATTAGAGTTCTCATGTGATTTAATAAAGATGATACATTAGCAAATTTATCAGATGTGAACATACAACATTCTGTTTGAGTAATGTCATAGGTGCCTTCTTGTGATGCAGTAATAATGTCCAAAGCCATCCTATTTTGGAGGACAGTTTATCTCATTAGAGACACTTCAGTTTTCAGTACAGACTGGCTTCTCTGACTTGCTGGGGAAGGGTGAGGAAGGAGAGGAACAGGGAGGGTAGAGAGCAAAGGAGGAAGTGAAGGAGGAGGAGGAGCACACAAATTCACTGAAACAGTGGTGAGTGGCAGCTACACCGTCATTTCCTTCTGGACCAACACGGAGTCCCCCATCACCTCCTTCCTCCCAGGTCCCAGTGAGGCTGAAGCGATGGAAGGTGTGTTTGTAGTTTGGCTCATGAGTGACATATTAGGCACTCTCTGGGTTTAAAGCAAAGGCAGCGGAGGAAGGTCCTAGCACTTCAGTTAAGTACAGATATCTCTCTCCCAGGGAAAGTAGTTTATCAAACCCTGCCTAACATAAGCAAATGTTTAATTATTTTCTTCATAAATAAGTGGCTGTTTAGTATAATTTACATCTCTTTTCAATTGTGGTGGGTTGGAAATAGTTAAATTACCAATATATAATTAGAGTCTGGTCAAGAAGATAGGATTCAAAATAGGTAATTCTATCAGAGTAAGTTTGACATAGGGAATTGGTTAAACAAGTTTTGGAAGACTGCAAAATCAAAATGAGAACAATGAGGGAATGCAGGAATAATAACTACAGAAAACAGCTACCAGCCTAGGGCTGGGGGAATAGAGGGAAGGGGTGGGGTTATGGGACCTGCAGAGTTGGGACCCAGACCTCAAGGAGGAGCCATGTCCCCCGCTGCTGTGGGGACCTCTGAGAGCCGTAGAGAGTCTGACTCTGAGAATAGTGCCCTCTCTGCCTCTGATCATTGCCTGAAATTCTGAAAACCTTCTCCAAATGGGAGTTCAAAAAATGCAGTTGGGTGAGCAGAAGTAAAGAGACAGGAAAGGAAACGCTGGCCATACCTCGTTCGCAACAGCAGGCTTCCACTGGCATAAGGAACCTGGCGATAAGTTTGACTATGATTGGAAGCTTTGACTAGTACCTGTCACTGCACCTTGCAATTCTGGAATGAAGATTGTGTTTGGCAACTCAAAGTCACTGTAGTGCTTGTGAAAACAAATAAAGAAAACCTTATTCAAATAGAGTCAGGAAGTCCTGAAAGTGTAGCTCTCACAAACATATGACCTCTTGAGCTTACTTTACAAATTTGGGCAGGAAGAAGCTTATTTTACTATCCCAGCAACAACCCAGCAAAGGAGAAGCCACCACTCTCAGCCAATAAGAAGCCACTGCCACCCTGACCACTCATTCTCTTCCAGTGGACTTTTGTTCATATTCACCCCTCCAAACTTTTCCTTTTTTCTCCATAAAATAACTTTCCCCCGTAGCTAGTTGGGCTCAGTAGATAGAGTGTTGGCCCTCAGACTGAAAGGTCCCAGGTTCAATTCCAGTCAAGGGCATGTACCTTGGTTACAGGTTCTATCCCTGGCCCTGGTCGGGATACTTGTGGGAGGCAACCAATCGATGTCCCTCTCTCACATTGATGTTTCTCTCTCCCTCCTCCTCCTTTCCACTCTCTCTAAAAAAAAAATCAATAGAAAAATATCCTCAGGAGAGGATTAACTAACTAAATAAATAAAATAACTCTCCCCTTTTTTGTTCTCCATACTTGCCTGTGGTTTGCCATCGTTTGCATGTCTCAGATTGCAATTCCTCTCCTATTCCCAAATTTACTGGTTTTTGCTGGTAAAATAACTGGCTATTTTATTTTGAAAATTTGACCAACTTTACCCTAAAAGTCATCAGGAAAGTCATGGGACTGCTACACATCTAACCTGGGCACAAAGAATTGCCCCCACAGAACACAATTTAGGAAGGGGGCAAGATTAAAGAGAATGGTTGTAAGATTGCAACCATGAGCCCTACTTGTTTAGCCTACTATAAGTGGCTGGCACATAGTAAGAAACACAATAAATGGTCTTATTATTGAAACCTTGGGCTCTGACCTCTCCCACAATGCAACACTGACCATTACATGAGAGTGTCAGAACTCCCCCTCAACAAAAGATGACAAAATCCTCAGCTCTCAGTTGTGCGGGGAGCAGCACTGTACAAGCTCAGTTTTCCACAACTTAACAGACTACAACATCCCCTGGGCTCCAGTCCCACATCCACAGTGGATAGCCCCAAGCAGCCTCTGGGTCCTGTCATTAACAAAGTTGCTTCTATATTTGTCCTGTTAGGAAGAGCGGGGGTCTTGCTGACCTGGTGCTTGTAAATTGTCCCTTTCCTCACCCCCAACTAATAAATGAAACTCATTCCTTTTCCATGACATGGGATGCTGTGGAATTCATCCTGAATCCCAGTGATTAACAGGTGGGGACCCAGATGGAAACCATCTGCATAATAGTCCCCAATCAACACCGGAGAACACAACACAAACTTCAGGGGTCTTCAAACTTCTCTCATTATGAGAATCACCTGGTGGAGTTGTTAAAACACAGATTCCCGGATCCCAACTATAAGAAGTGCTATCAGGAATCTGTGTTTTAACACCTCCACCAGGTGATTCTCATAATGAGAGAAGTTTGAAGACCCCTGAACTAGATGGACACAGCTATTCACAGCCTTCTATATTCTGGTTTCATTCTTTCTACCCAGATTTATATATCTCTCCACCCCAAATGCAGGCCTCCTTTGAACCAGGTCTCCTTTGAATCAGCTCCTTACCTTAATACACACTGTGCCCATCACCACTCACTGAACGGCGGGATTGTAAAACCCGCCATCCATGAAATGCAGCGATTTGTAGTTGTACTGAAGCATGAAATCCGAATGTCATGCTGTGAGGATGGTCTGTAAGAGTGAATCAATCCACAGAAGAGGGAGGCTGTGAGGTCCAATTGCAAAGGCTTGGCTGGTGAGTGAAGCAGACCCGAGTTTAAATCCTGGTTCTGCCACTGGACCACCTGAGGCAAATCATTCAACTTCTGAACTCCTGGCTCTCCTCCATAAAGTGAGGAGTAATCTACATGCCAAAGTGCTACAGAGCAGGGAAAGGGGCTTAGTCAACAACGGCTGACCTTAATAGTGCGTTACTATTCTCACTAATGAGCACAGTTGGAGGGTATGAGTGAGAAAACCTGACCCCTCTGACCTAATATCAGAGGCAAGCTGCTAGGACTACTGAGGCAGGTTGGGATGTACTAGTGGGGAGAGAGGGACCCCCCAAAAGCCAGGTGCAGGCTCTGAGCTGGGGAAGGGCAGGAAAGGGTTAGAACTAGAAGCCTAAACAGGGAGTAAGAATGGCCTTGCTATATCCTCTACAGACTCCTGGGACATTTTTTGAAGAGTTTGAACCCTATATTAATATATTTCTCTCCAGCACTACCCCCTGTAAAGTCTTGGTGATTTCAGGATTCACAATAAAATCTTTCCAATGGCCTGGTGTCTCTCTTCTTCGACCTCCTCACTCACTTTCACGGCCAGTGGCTTTCAAACTTGTTTGTCCACGGCCCAACCATATGTGTGACTCAGTGCACACACACATCATATGTAAATACCCACGTCTACACATACGTAAATGAAATCAAGTTTTACAATATGGATACTTACCCTTGCTACATGCATTGTGCTCTGCTATTTCCTATTTTGTTCTATTTCATTTTTACAGATGCAGTAACTTAATTTTGTGATTCACTAATGGCTCTGTCTCTCAATTTGAAAAACAGTGCCCTAGATTTTTTCATTACATCACTCCAGTTTTAGAGACCGAAAAGCTGGGGAGGAAGTAGCCAATGAGGTAGAAGAACAAACAGACCCTTCATTAGTACAATCCAAACACAGTCATGTGCCCCATAATGAGGTTCCTGTCAACAGAGGACCACATATAGGACCACATATAAGATTATAATGGAGCTGAAAATTCCATCACTTATCATAGTTGCCGTAGCATTGTAGTGCAACACATTACTTACTATAACTTTTTTACCTGATATAATTAAAAAGGTTATAAAATGCTAAAGTAAACTAAGGTTAATTTATCATTGAAAAAAGAAAAAATTTCAAATAACTTTAGTGTGACCTAAGTGTGCAGTATTTACAAAATCCACAGTAGTGTACAATAATATCCTGGGCCTTCATTTTTTTTAAATATATTTTATTGATTTTTTTATAGGGAGGAAGAGAGAGGAATAGAAAGTCAGAAATGTTGATGAGAGAGAAACATCGACCAGCTGCCTCTTGCACTCCCCCCACTGGGGATGTGCCCGCAACCAAGGTATATGCCCCTGACCGGAATCGAACCTGGGACCTTTCAGTCCGAAGACCGACGCTCTACCACTGAGCCAAACCGGTTTCGGCTGGGCCTTCATTCATTCACTCACTCACTGACTCACCCACATCACCCACAGCATCTTCCAGTCCTGCAGCTCATCCATATCAAGTGCCCTGTATATATGGATATATCGCTTTTTAAACCTTTCATACCATATCCTTATTGTACCTTCTCTATATTTAGATATGGTTAGCTATACAAATACTTACTGCTGTGCTGCAATTGCCTACAGGATTCAGTACAGTACCATGCTGTGCAGGTTTATAGCCTAGGAGTAATGGGCTATACCACATGGCCTAGAAGTGTAGTAGACTATACCATCTAGGTTTGTATAATGCCCTCTATGATGCTCTCACAATACAAGACAGAATCACACTCTCCAATCTCTTCCTGTCACTCAAACTCATTGGCTCTAGTACTCCAAGTTCAACTATTTTCCAACCCCACCCAGTACCTCAATCTTACCACCTTCCCCTCATGATGTCACTTCCTCTTTATCTGATTTAGATTACCTAGCTTATAATAATCATCCGTCAAGTGATTCATTTAATAAATAGTTGCCAAGGTTTCCCACTCTCTGCCAAATATTGTTCTGGGTGCTAGAGTTACAGCAATGAACAAAACACAGTCCCTGCCTATGAAGACCTTTTTATTGGAGAGAAAACAGACAATAAGCAAATCAATAAGAATAATTAAGCTATCTATCTATATCTATATCTATATCTATATCTATATCTATATCTATCTATATCTAAGCCTAATATGCAAAGTATGCCCTCAGGAGTTCAACCAGGAGACCCCGAGTTCGCTCACTATGACAGCTCACTATGACATGTGCTGACCATCAGGGGACAGTGAGGAACAAAGGAAGGGCCAAATCGGCCCTGTTCATTGGCTAGGGACTCTACCAGTGTATGAATTTGTGCACTGGGCCTCTAGTCTTAGTATAATAGCCAGTGCAAAACCTAAAGCAGAAGAGCACCTACAGGTCCCAGGGACAGCACAGTGACTAACAAGCCTGGAGCAGAGTGAGAAGAGGGGGAGGAGGTCAGAAAGAAAGCAAGAAGCCAAATGGTTTCCTAGTCTATTCCAAGGACTTTGACTTTTACTCTGAATGTGATGGGCTATCATTGCAGGATTTGAGAAAAGGGAGCATCCTGATCTGGTTTCTGTTTGGAGAATAGATGGTCAGGAAACAAGGGAAGAGGATTCAGATTAAGATACTATTGGATGAATCCAGGTGAGAGATAATGGTGGTTTGGACCAGGGTAGCGGGAAGGAGGTAGTGAGAAGTGGATATAATTTTGAAGGTATAGCTAACAGAATTTGCTGATAGGATAGTGTCAAGGGAGATGCCAAGGTTTTGGGCTTAAGCAGCAGAAGTATGGAGTTGCCTTGTACTGAAATGGGGAGACTTTAGGAGGAGTTTTGGGGTTGAGGGAATCAAGAGTTGAATTTTAAATACATCAGTTAAAAACCCAAGTAGAGAAATATGTAGTCGGCATTTCAATATATACAGTTCAGGAGGGTGATCTGGGAAGGAGCTATAAACAGAGAGATAGTAGCATCTACTTGATAATAAAATCAGGAGACTGGATGAGAAAGACCTATGAAATGAGTGAGAACAGGAGAGGGAAGAGTTCCAAAGACAGAGCCAAGAGGTCAAGTTGATGAGGAGGAAATGGCAAAGGAGACCAGAAAAGAGCAGCCAGTGACAGGAAGAGAGAAATCAGAGTGCAGGCTCCAGGAATACTGAGGGCAAAAGTGCTTCCAAAAGGATGGAGCAATCTCCATGCCAAAGGAGGATGAAGATGCCCAGCTTTATCAGCAATCAGGGAAATGCACATTAAGACCACAGGGAGAGAACTAGGTGGTTTTACTCAGTGGATAGAGTGTCGTCCTGTGGACTGGAAGGTCCTGGGTTCAGTTCTGGTCAGAGGCATGTACCTTGGTTGCAGACTCTTCCGTGAACCAGACCCTGGTAGGACTCATGCAGGAAGCAACCCATCGATGTATTTCTCTCACATTACTATCTCTCTGTGTCTTTCCCTCTCTCTTCCACCCTTCCTAAAAATCAATGGAAAAATATCCTCAGATGAGGATTTAAAAAAAAAAGAGAGAGAGAAAGAGAGAGATCACATTTATACCAATTAACTGGTAATAATTTGAAACCTGTGAAGATCATATGTAGAAAGAGACTTTATTTAGATACAGCAACAGGATGTCTTATATATGACTGGTAGAAGTGTAAGCAGGACCAACCACTTTGGAAAACAATTGGACTTTCTTTTTCTTATGACCTTACAGGATGACATTAAACAATCCAGCAATTCCTCTCGGAGGTATCACCTTCTGGCCACGGCTTTCATTTTTGCAGGTGGGGAACAGAGGCATAGAGAGGGGAACTATTAGGGACAGAATCAAGAGCAGAACCCTTGCCCAGTGGTGTCCTGCCAAGCAGTGTCAGGTAACTATGTTAAAGAGAAACAAACAGGTTCAGGAACTTCCTCTAAATCACACTGCAGTAAGTGCTGAAATTGGGATTTGAACTCCAGTTTCACACTTTGAAATCCTTGCTCTTTCCACTACCCCTTGATGTTAAGGTTAACAGACACAGACACAAACCCACACAGATATCCGCATTCCCATGTTTCCATTTCCATGCTTCTCCCTTTATCCTCTCTTGAACCAAACCACCACCTTGCAATTCTTATTCCCTCCCTCCCCTCCCCACCCCCAACACACACCCCACAGTTCCAGACAGATCTGCCTCATGAAAACGTCACAATGAGCCAAACCCGGTTTGGCTCAGTGGATAGAGCATCGGTCTGCGGACTGAAAGGTCCCTGGTTCGATTCCGGTCAAGGGCATGTACGTTGGTTGCGGGCACATCCCCAATGGGGGTGTGCAGGAGGCAGCTGATCGATGTTTCTCTCTCATCAATGTTTCTAGCTCTCTATCCTTCTCCCTTCCTCTCTGTGAAAAATCAATAAAATATATATATTTTTTTAAAGTCACAGTGATTGGAACAACACACATTTAGAGAGTGTTGCCTATGTGCAGGCATGGTGCTCATCAGATCCAAAGGGCAACAGGCTCGCCACACTGTTACAGGAGGGGGACAGGACACAGACAAGAAAATGGGCAATTACCATCCAGAATAAGAAGTAATCTGATAAGGAACATCTGTGTTACTTTCAACAATAAAGATAAATTTCAAAAAAAGATTCCAGACAGGGGAAGGAGAAGTGATCTCATAGAGGCAGATGAGAACACCAAGAGCCACAATGAGGGTGCTGAAGCTGTTGGAGGGATCTTAGAAAGAAATACTTCCCCAAGAAAGGGACTGACGCAGAGACGGAGGTATGACAAAGGAATTAACCGAGGAAGGGCACCTGACCCAGGGAACAGCATATGCAGGGCTTAAGGCTTTGTAAAGCACTGATCTGATCAAACACCCTCTCACCACCCCACCCCCCATCCCTCCACCCCCATTAGCAGTCCTGCGTGGCCTCCCATTCCCAAATGAAAACGTCTTAAACATGTCCTCCCTTCGGTTGGGGGCAACTTTGAATATCTATGGGGCATCCAATTGAAGATCACCATGAGAGACTTGGGTCAGAAGGAAGATCTGGACAGAAGATAAGAGGAAAGTCGGTTAAGCACATAATGATCGTGGACATGGATAAGCTCACCTAAGGAAAGGAGGGAGAATGGGAAGAGAAACAGGAACACCAAGACTTAAGGGATCAACATGTCACCAGCCTGGTTTTGAAACCAGCATTAGGACTGACTTCTTGTGAGTGGATTGTACTCAGTGTGACCGCACTTAACCTCTCTAGCCTCAGTTTCCTGGTCTGTAAAATGGGCTAGTAATAGTACCTACTTCCTTGGGTTGTCTGAGGAGTAGATGGGTCAATACATGCAAGTGCTTAGAACAGCACCTGTCACACAGAGCTCAATAAATGTCCAATAAAAGAATAGGATGGGTTGAGAGTGAATGGAGCTGGTGGAGGTGGAAGGTGCTGGGGGTAAACTCGTCTTTCAAGAAGTCTGACTCTGAAGTGGAAAAGGAAAACAGTAGCTGGAGGTTTTGCTTTTGTTTTCTTTTTCCACCCCATGTTACTTTGGGAATTTCACCCTTCTGCATTTAAAAGAGTGACACCCCACTCCCTACCCCACCCCCAGTTACTTTGGAAACCCTGTTCCCCAAATTAGAGGTTTCAGACCACCCCCTTCCCCACCCATCCCCAGCGCTGTGGAGGGAGTCCCCAGAGCCACACGGGAAACTCCGCACACCTGAGGGAACCCGCATTCTCCAGGGGGTCCAGGCACACCCCCTATCCCCTCTCCTCACCCCCCCACCCCCACCCCCAGCCCCCGCAATGCTATAGAGGGAGCTGCGGGATTTGGAGGGTGGCTTTCACCTCTCCATGGGGTGGAGGAGGCCGCCCAGCTACTTTGGAAACCCTGAGCCTCAGAGAGGCAGCCCCAGTTCCCCTGCGCTTGGGAGGGGCCCCTGCACTGTGGAGGAAGAAGCCCCGCCATCCGGAGGGGGTCCAGACCCCCAGCACCGGGAAGAGAGTCGTGCCCCCCCCCCCCAATCCTTTGGAAACCCCGTGCACCAGAAGATGGCTCCCAGGCCTGCACGCCAGAGAGAGAGCTCCTCCCTCCCTTCCTCTCCCTCCTTCCCCACCTCCCGCTCCGCTTTGGCAGCCCGCCCTCCCCCAGCAGAGAGGGTTTACTTGTGAAGACAGGAAAAAATCTGAGCGTGTCCAAATGCTGATTGGAGGGAGCCGGGAGAGGGAGAGGGTGAAGACTGGGGGCGCTGGGGAGGAAGGCCAGGTACGCTGGAGCCGGTCCCCAGGAAGCTCCAGGCGCCCGAGGGCGGGCGAGAGGGAGGTGAGGGCGCCGGTAATCGCGTAGGTGGGTGTGGCCGGGAGGCCGGGGAACCACCTTGCGTTTGCTGCCTGCGGTGGAGATGACCCATCAGCTGAGAATGTGGAGGTGGTGGGGAGGTTAGGGGAAACACACAGGACGTCCAAGCCCGTGGGGCGGAGGAGAGCCTGCCACTCACAGGATGGTTTCTCAACGCGTCCTCATTCTGTCCTCTCAACACCCCCAAGGAATGTTCCTGCCTTACCTCTTGGTGGGAAGGAGGCTGAGCCTGAGTTCAGGCCACACCCCTGCACAAACATGCACATGACACGGGAATAGACTCACCCACGTGCGCACACACACCCTCCCTGGGGCCCCGGGGAGTCCAGGGCTGCTGCCCACCGCCCCCTCCCCACTCCCTCGGCTGGAAGGCCTTCCAGGATGCAAGTGAGTGAGGGCCGCCTTGCTCCAGGAGGTTCTCAGATCTGCCCTCCACAAGGAGAAAAGTTAGTAAATGATTCACAAGTGGAAAAAACAAACAAACCAAAACAAGGCTCGGGACAGTGGGAATAATATGCTAACATTTTTGTAATAAATGGGGTGGGAAGAATGTGTTTGCTTATATGTGCATAAAACATGTCTGGAAGGATGCCCAAAACTCAAACTGTGGTGGCCTTGGGGGAAGGGAGATGGAAAGGAAGGAAAAGGTTCAGTGTATCCCCTTCTCTGCCTTTTGAATTTTGAAATAAATCAGTAAATGTATGCTTTAAAATAGAACCCAGTGGTCTGGCTTGGTCCAACTCTTCCCCCTAAGGAGCCTGAGGCCTCCCTGTGAACCACGGGAACCAGTGACACAGAGTCACTGGGCCCACGCCACGACCCTGTGCATGTGACAGCAGACCACGGCAGGCTCCGCAGTCTGGGGCAGGCCTCATCCCCTTGGTTGCTACAGTCATTTACTCTGTTAGCTCAAAAACGGAGGGGATTTTGTAAGGAATTGACAGCAAGAAGGATCTGAAGTATTCCAGGGGACCCAGAAACAGCCACACAGTGGGCCTCGTAATTCAGGAAAGGGACAGTGCTCTGGACCCGGGACACTCCAGAGCCCGGATCACCTGGGGGGGGGGGGGGTCACTGAAGGGGGGAGAAATAGATCGCTGCTTTCTCTCCTCTTTCTGCTTCTGCCCCCTCTACCACCAGAAGGCCCAGCCCATCACCATGGCTCCAATATAGGCACAACCCCATCACAGGCCTTTGGGTAGGTGCCATTGCTGGACCGATCATCTGGGGCCAAAGGAGGCAGGGCCACCAGGGTTCCTCTCAGAAGGGGCGGTGAGCAGGATGGTCATGTGGAATCCCAAAAATCCTCTGGACCCTTCCGTCCTGGAGCCTTGGTTTACCCCTCCAGGCTGGCCCGGCCTCACCTAACCCCCGAAGACTGTGTTCCTGTGAACAGCGGCGAGGATATCTTCCCCAAGTCTGAGAGCCAGAAAAAATATCTCTGATATTTGTTACAAGGGAGAAACTCCAGATTTATAAATACTTGACTACAAAGGGCCCACACAGGCACACCCCTCCTCTCCTCTCCTCCTCCGCCACAGCCTCTGGCAGCCACCCTAGTGCAGCCTTTGCCAGGACTCCAGCGGTGGTGAAAACACTCAGAGACTTTGGACAACCCCTGCACACAAAAATAGAGGAAAGTAAACCACCAGAAACATCATGGGCTTTTCAAACCAGAACGATCTAGATTTTATTTCTCCATCTGCCATTGACTAGCTATATGATCGTAGGCAAGACACTCAACCTCACTGAGCCTCAGTTTCTTTATCTGTGAAGTAGGAGTAGTGAAACCTAACTCACAAGGTTGGCAGGAGAACTAAAAGAAATCATGCATATAACAAAACACTGATGCTCCACAAATGGCCCTTTCCTCCCTTCCCCCTCCTCACTCTCTGCCTTTTCCTCCCCCGACTTCCTGCAATAAATTCCCTCTGTTTAAGTTCACCAGAGTCAGTGTCTGTCAGCCGCAACCAAGAACACAGAGTGATAAAGCCTGTGACCTTCTCTTCACCTCCACCTCACAGCCCCCTCATGTTTTTTTGCTTCCCGACACTTTCGAATATCCTTTCCGCGTCTGGGGAATTCCTGTCTTGCATTCCACTTTTCCAAGGTAGAAGCCTGAAAACTAGGTAGCAGGTATGTGTCCCAAGCTCCACCCACCAGAGGCAACTAAGTGAGGTTTCAAATAGTGAGTGAAGAAAGAGTGTAAGGAGGCAAGAACCACGTGGGTCCCAACTGGTGACGGGGAGACAGGGACAGAGGATTTGGGGCCACTGGAGAGGAGGTTCCAGTGTCTGGGGGACCAGTGTTGGCAGCATAGGATGGTGGCCTTCACTGACACAGTCAGAGATATGGTCTGGGTAGCCCGAAAGCGAGGTTCTCTGGTCCTCCTGGAGGTTCCCTGGGAATCAAATGTGTTCAAATAAATTTCTTTTCTGACCAAAGCAATAATGAGCTCTATATTTTGCAACTAAGAGCACCGACACACACATATGTACAGTACGTGGCTCTTTTTATTTCAGCCTTATTGAGGAGCAATTGACACATAAAATTGTTAGATATTAAAAGTGTATATTGTGGCTATTTGATATGCATATACATGTGAAAATATTCCCTCATCTAGTTAATTCACACATTCATCATTTCTACATATTTATCTTTATTTCTTATAAGATCTACTCTTTTAACAATTTCAATTATACAATACACTGTCATCATCTATAGTCACCATGTTGAACATTAGGTCCTCAGATCTTATTCATCGTAAAGCTGACGGTAGTAAAGTCCCAACTATTATTATATTGCTGTCTACTTCCCCCTTCATGTCAATATTTGCTTTCTGAATTTAGGTACATCCAGATTGGGTACATAAATATTTGCAAGTGCTATATTCTCTTGTTGGATTGACTCCTTTATCCATTGTACAATAAACTTCTTTGTTTCTTATTACAGTCTTTGGCTTAAAATTTATTTTGTCTTATATAACTACTAGGAGCCCAGTGCCTGAAATTGTGTGGTCCTGCCCTGCCTTGACACCAGGACTCTCCACACAGAGATCCAGTGCACCTTGCCCAGCCCCTGATCTCTCTGGTCTTCTCTGGCCGCTTCAAGCCCTGCCCTCAGGCCCTCGAGTCACCTAGGGCTTGGTCTCCCTGATTCTGTCCCATCTCCATAGCAATGCAGCGGCTCCGCCCCATCATGGCTCTGAAAAGAGGGTGGAAGCCTCCCACCCGCTGCGTTGTGCTCCGTCCCCTGGCAGGTGGGCAGCGGGGCGCTCTGAGTGCAGTCGGTGGGTGGTGAAGGACTGGTGAGGGGGCGCTAGAGGCTCTCACTCCCACCCTCCCTCCCCGCCTCCTCTGGGAGTCTCCCCGCTTCCACCTCATCTCCAGAGCAACACCCCACTGCGCATGCTCAGACAGCATCCCGTGAAGGGTCATGACATTACAAAGTAACAATTTGCATATTCCTCTATTATTATATAGGATAGTTACTCTTGTCTCCTTTTTCTTCTTCCTCCTCTCCTCCTCTTTCTCCTTTCCTCCTCCTCCTCCTCCTCCTCCTCCTCCTCCTCCTCCTCCTCCTCCTCCTCCTCCTTCTCCTCCTCCTCTTCCTCCTCCTCCTCCTCTTTCTCCTTTTTCTTCTTCCTCCTCCTCTGCTGCTGCTGCTTCTTCTTCTGTTGTTAATCCTCACCCGAAGATATTTTTCCATTGAATTTTAGAAAGAGTAGAAGGGAGAGAGACAGAAACTTCAATGTAAGAGAGACACATCCATTGGATGCCTCCCACATGCGCTCTGACCAGGGCCAGGGATCCAGCCTGCAACGAGGGTACAGGCCCTGACTGAAGTGGAATCTGTGACCCTTCAGTCCTCAGGCCAACGCCCTATCCACTGAGCCAAACTGGCTAGAGCAGATCCTAGCTTTCTTTTTATTCTATTTCCATGAAATAGCTATTTCCATACTTTCACTTTCAGTCTATATGTGTCTTTAAAGCTGAGGTGAGTCTCTTGTAAGCAGCATATAGTTGGGTCTTATTTTTTATTCCTTTCAGCCACTCTATGTCTTTTGATTGGAGGATTTAGACCATCTATATTTAAAGTAATTATTTATAAGTTGAGGTTACTTTTGTCATTTTATTGTTTTCTGGCTGTTTTGTGATTCCATTGTTCCTTTCTTTTCTTGCTCTTTTCCCTTGTTATATAATGATTTTCTGTCATAGTATGTTTAGAATCCTTTCTTTTGTGTATTTTTATAGGTTTTTCTTTTGTGATTATCATAAAACATTTGCTTTGAGATTTACATAAAACATTTTATTTTATTTATTTTTTAAATGTATTTTACTGATTTTTTACAGAGAGGAAGGGAGAGAGATAGAGAGCCAGAAACATCGATGAGAGAGATACATCGACCAGCTGCCTCTTGCACACCCACTACTGGGGATGTGCCCGCAGCCAAGGTACATACCCTTAACCGGAATCGAACCCAGGACCTTTCAGTCCACAGACAGATGCTCTACCACTGAGCCAAACCCATTGTGGCACATAAAACATTTTATATTTATAAAACTATAGTTTATGCTGATAACAACTTAACTTTGTATTCATACTTAAAACTCTACATCTTTACTCTCCCCACACTTATATATTTTTGATGTCATAATTTATATATTTTTACCTTGTGTACCCATTACCAAATTAGTGTATATTTTTAATACTGTTGTCTTTTAACCTTCACTCTATATTTATAGTGATTTACCCACCACCATTACATTAGAATATTCTGAATTTAACTACATATTTATCTATACCAATGAGATTTATACTTTCATGTGTTTCTGTTAGTAATTAACATCCTTTCAGTTCAGCTTGAAAATGTCCCTCTTGTCCTTCTTATAAAGACAATCTAGTGGTGATGAGCAACTTTACCTTTTACTTGTTGGAAAATTCTTTCTCTCCTTTAATTCTGAAGGACAACTTTTTTGAGTAGAGTATTCTTGGTTGATAATATTTTTTCTTTTAGCATTATGACTATATCATGCCACTCCCTTCTGGCCTGCTGAAAAATCTGCTCATAGTCTTATGGAGTTTACCTTGTACATAATAAGTTGAGTTTTCTTCTACTGCTTTTAAGACTTCTTCTCTTTAACTTTTGCAATTTAATTATAGTGTGTCTTAGTTTGAGTTTCTTTAGATTAATCTTACTTGGAACTTTCTGGGCTTCCTGCATATGGGTGTCTGTTTCTTTCCTCAAGTCAGGGAATCTCTCAGACATTATTTCTTTGAATAAGCTTTCTCTCCCTCTTCTCCTAGGACTTCTGTAACACAAATATTTCTACTCTTGATGGTGTCCCATAAGTTCTTTAGATTTTTTACTCTTATTTATTTATTTATTT